CTGTCTCTCAGCATGGTGCTGGTGCTCCCACACACATACAGTTACGGTACACGCTGTTCTCCTCGCGGCTCTTTTCTTTGTCTCCGAGTTCAGTTTGAATCTGAATCAATTGGAGTCAGCTTTGTTGAAGACATATATTAGGTGTCATCATGTCAGAGAGTAGAAAAGTAAGGTTTGGACGTTTGATATGATTTGAGCTACATATGCAAAGCAAATCCATTTTGAACCTAATCCATTTTATATATACATGTAAATGTGTACATTCCTCTAGGATCATGATGCAGCAAGTGGTGTAAGGAGTGCATCTTGGAGATATGGAGATGCTCCTGGGGAGAATATGGTAATCAACGCCCACTAGTGATTGATGTAGTGCAACATGATTGACACAGTGCTAAAGGACAGGTTCTTAAAGCAACTTGATACACGACAGCTTATCAACAGTTAACACTAGTCAGACTTCAGCTAACATTTCAGCTATTAGCTGCATCATTGTGTCATGAAAGTTGGACTGGGACAGATGCCATTGCAGTCAAGCGTCTTCAGTGAAGTGAAATGTAAACAAATCTAAACGTTAGGCAAGGTCAAGAACAGGCTTAGGTCAGGCAATCAACAGAGTATACTGGGCTAAGGCAAAACTGGAACATCAGGAAACAGGCAAATAATCAGAAAAGCAGAGTAACCAACACGGAAAACGAGACTAGGTAAAGTCAGATGTGTGGGACAAACTGAGCATTTACTCCACGAAGTCTGTATGACTGAGAGTGTCTTTTAAAGTGTATGTGTGAGTGTGAGGGATTGGGAACAGGTGTGTTTGTGTCCGGTGAACGGGAGTGGGTTAACAGCAGCGTGTTCAGGGGAGTGTAGTCTGAGGCGGCCATGTTTGGAGGCTGCGGTGCGTTCTGTGCAATGAAGTTAGTGGTTTGCATGGACCTGACAACTCGACAAGCATCTCACAAATGCTTCACTATGACAAGTAAGAAATAAAACAAGATGTGGTGTGCTGTTACAAAAAATAGAAAATGATCAACAACGGGGTGATGTGAGGCAGTCCAACACGAAGCGGATTGTTTTCCAATAACAAGTGTTTTAATCCTCTTATACCACAGCAATTTCTCATCTCATATATGTTGATATATCTGTTTATAGTTATGTTTAATGCGTTTTGCTCTCTCTCTCTTAAAGTAAACAAGACTTGTCATGTTACCGAGAAACTGCAAAGCATAAACTCGTTTGTCTCAAAGGCTTTCTTGTGTTTACCTCTAACTAAAGGACCTCTAACTAACTTTACCTCTAACTAACTTTATTTCTAACTAAAGTACCTCTAACTAACTTTCTTCTTCTTGCTAAGTAGCGTATCGGGCGACGAGAGAGAAATCCCTCCTGTCGTTTCCATAGCGGTTACGGTTTTTTACACGGGCGGCTGTGGCGCAGTTGGTAGAGTGGGTTGTCCACTAATCGTAGGGTTGGCGGTTCGATTCCCGGCCTGGTGACTCCACATGCCGAAGTGTCCTTGGGCAAGACACTGAACCCCAAGTTGCTCCCGATGGCAAGCTAGCGCCTTGCACTGCTACCATTGGTGTGTGTGTGAATGGGTGAATGATAAAAGCGCTATATAAGTGCACATTTACCATTTACCATTTTACGGGGACGGGTTGCTACAGTCATGGACGAAATTATTGGCACCCCTGGAACTTTTCCAGAAAATGCACAATTTCTCCCAGAAAAGTGTTGCAATGACAAATGTTTTGGTATACACATGTTTATTACCTTTAAGTGCATTGGAACAGCACAAAAAAGCAGAAGAAAAAAGGCAAATTTGACATCATTTTACACAAAAGTCCCAAAATGGACTGGACAAAATCATTGGCACCCTATTAAAACTGTGGGTAAATAATTTCATTTCAAGCATGTGATGTTCATTTAAACTCACCTGTGGCAAGTAATAGGTGCTGGCAATATAGAAATCAAAACTGAAGCCAGTTAGAGTGTATAAAAGTTGGCTCAACCTTTGTGTTGTGTGTCTGTGTGTGCCACACCAAGCATGGAGAAGAGAAAGAAGTGGCGAGAATTGTCTGAGGACAAAATTGTGGAAAAATATCAACAATCTCAAGGTTACAAGTCAATCTCCAGAGATCTTAAAGTTCCTTTGTCTACTGTGCGCAATATAATCAAGAAGTTTATAACCCATGGAACTGTGGCAAATCTCCCTGGACGTGGACGGAAGAGAAAAATTGATGAAAGAATGCAACGCAGGATAGTTCGAATGGTGGATAAACAACCTCAATCAACTTCCACGCAAATTCAGGCTGTCCTGCAGACTCAGGGTGCATCACTGTCAGCTCGAACCATACGTTGTCATCTGAATGAGAAGAAGCGCTATGGCAGGAGACCGAGGAGAACCCCATTTCTGACACAGACGCCTAAAAAAGCCAGACTGCAGTTTGCAAAAATGTACCTGAGTAAGCCTCAATCCTTCTGGGAGAACGTTTTGTGGACAGATGAGACTAAGGTAGAGCTTTTTGGCATTCTACTGTTTACAGAAAATGGAAAGAGGCCTACAAAGAAAAGATCACAGTACCTACAGTCAAACATTTTGGAAGTTCAAGGATGTTTTGAGGTTGTTTTGCTGCCCAACCCTCCCTTTTGCATCTGGGCTTGGGACTGGCAATGGCAGACACTCACACACCCATTCATACACTACAGACACCAATCAGCCTACCATGCATGTCTTTGGACTGGGGGAGGAAACCAGAGTACCCGGAGGAAACCCCCGCAGCACGGGGAGAACATGCAAACTCCGCACACACATGGCCCCGGTGGGCATCGAACCCCAGACCCTGGCGGTGTGAGGCGAACGTGCTAACCACTAAGTCACCGTGCACCCCTCTAACTAAAGTACCTCTAACTAACTTTACCTCTAACTAAAGTACCTCTAACTAACTTTTCCTCTAACTAACTTTACCTCTAACTAACTTTATCTGTAACTAACAGACCTCTAACTAACAGACCTCTAACTGAAGTACCTCTAATTAAAGGACCTCTAACTTACTTTACCTCTAACTAAAGGACCTCTAACTGAAGTACCTCTAACTAACAGACCTCTAACTAAAGTACCTCTAACTAACTTTACCTCTAACTAAAGTACCTCTAACTAACTTTACCTCTAACTAAAGTACCTCTAACTAACAGACCTCTAACTAAAGTACCTCTAACTAACTTTACCTCTAACTAAAGGACCTCTAACTAAAGGACCTCTAACTAACTTTACCTCTAACTAAAGTACCTCTAACTAACTTTACCTCTAACTAAAGGACCTCTAACTAAAGGACCTCTAACTAACTTTACCTCTAACTAAAATACCTCTAACTAACTTTACCTCTAACTAAAGTACCTCTAACTAACTTTACCTCTAACTAAAGGACCTCTAACTAAAGGACCTCTAACTTACTTTACCTCTAACTAACAGACCTCTAACTGAAGTACCTCTGACTAACAGACCTCTAACTAAAGTACCTCTAACTAACCTTACCTCTAATTAAAGGACCTCTAACTTACTTTACCTCTAACTAACTTTATCTCTAACTAACAGACCTCTAACTGAAGTACCTCTAGCTAACTTTATCTCTAACTAACAGACCTCTAACTAACAGACCTCTAACTAAAGTACCTCTAACTTACTTTACCTCTAACTAAAGGACCTCTAACTAACTTTACCTCTAACTAGAGGACCTCTAACTAACTTTATCTCTAACTAAAGTACCTCTAACTACCTTGACCTCTAACTGAAGTACCTCTAACTAACTTTATCTCTAACTAACAGACCTCTAACTAAAGTACCTTTAACTTTACATCTAACTAACTTTATCTCTAACAAAGCACTGACACTAAATATCCCAAAATGATCATCTCCTCACAGAAAATGGTCTATGTTCACTTCCTGTGTAAGCTGTTACTATAGAAACACTAACGTATTATAATGAGTTCATTAATATAAACCTGTGATTCGCCTTCCTGCAAATCTACTGTCCAAGCCATGCTGCTATAGAAAATTGAATCAGGAGTTCAACGGTGGTCTGAAAACGTTGTTTAATTTTAGCTAGCGTCTTTATTTATTGCTAGGATCGTGTTTGAATGTGAGCAGATAGCGCGTTGTTCCAGTAATAGTGGACTGTGGTGTCTCAGCAGTTAAAGTTCTGAGTTAGTGATTTGGTGGTTTGAAACCCCAGAACTGCCTGAGACTTGGACTCTGTACTTGGATTAGATTTTGCCTCAGTTGTGGATAAAAGCATTAGTAATAGTACAGTTATATGACGGCTCTGCAGTGCACTATATGGTATTTTGACTCATTTGTCAGTGTTTCCATATCACTGTGCATCTCAACGTCATCGTTAGCTAGCTCAAGATACAGCTTTGATCTAAAATAAGGGGCTTGAGCACTGCACTTTCTGACTGTAAAATAATCACCTGTCATCTATGCAGTCTCTGTAGACCACAAGTCTCTGCTTCCAGTGTCACTATAACTGATCAATTAAATCATTTACATGAGAAACATTTTGTTACTACTGCTACTACTAAGAAGAAGAAGTAAAAAATTTCTGGTGAACTCTTTCCATATGGTTGGGGCTGATGGGGTCAGTAGGGTCAGAGGGTCGTGTTTTTTTCACTCTCACTCTTCTTTCTTCATACATACCAACAGTAAACACATATGGAACCCATACACACTTTCAGGACACATTGTCCTTCACTCAGCTCACTTGCTTTCTCTCACGCTCATTCTCCTCTCTCTATTCTCTCATGCAATTCTTTTCACGCAGCATTTACTTATTAGCATGACCAAATCGAGCACGATATTGGCAAAGCAAAAAATAAAATGTTAACAAAAGTTAATGTCAACTTACTACTGTTACTACTAAATCAGTCAATAACTAAATCAGCCAACAGAGAATGTCTTTACACTGGGAGAGGAAGCTAGATTTATCCAGAGGAATATTCAAGCTCTGTGCACACAGGTGGGAATCAAACCCCCAACCCTGGAGGTACGAGGCAAACATTCTAACCACTAAGCCACCATGCCCCTGTAATTTTGAGCATGATCGTAGTTTTTTGAGATGTGGCTGCACTTAATTAGCACGTTCCCATGCCTTAATAATTAAGGATTATTTTTACTAAGCAGCGAAGTCACTAGTGGACTTCTGCAATGGCTATGGTTTGGATTAAACCTATTCCCGTCAAATAGGCTATTAACTAATTAAGAACTCTGTAATAAATTTTATAACTTTATAATGCATTGCATTGTGTTGCAATTTCCAACAATGTCACCGACCCGTTTAGTTATTTCCACAATACAGACAGTAATCACATTTCCTTCTGTGTAATGGTAACATTTACTGAGGGAAAGGTTTATTTTTTTAATTATCTATGACACCAACAGTTGAATAGATTCATCAATCACAAGGTTCTTTTGACACTCAGTAATGTTTCTTGTGTGCCATCATTCCGAGGAACCTTTAGTTTTAAGTGTGGACACAAACCGATCTGTGGATGCGGATGCAGTACTCACATCTGAGTACAATCTATTGATCCATAGATTACAGAGGGAAGAGCAAAAGTCCGGCACCTCAGAGCAAACAAAGTCTGTCACAGTGAGGGATACATTTTGAAGACTTGGAAACAAGAGAGGTTGGGGATATGTGTCTCGTCAAACAAAGAAACCGTCGCATGTTGCTTCTGCCCCCATCTGTTACCATGACAATTCAATACTTCCCATCATGCGGTGGAATGTAGCACCATATGATATTTGGGTCTGGCAGTCGTGCCTATCATCTTTCCCCATCCCTCATCTCCAGAGTCGCTGTCCATCCAGACACCCACACACACACGGCATTTTATGAGCTTCTATTTTCACGCTGAGATGAAAGCACCCGCGCCTTTATCCGAGTCATTTTTCATACCGTGAGATCACAGCAAGGGTTTTTCTTTCTTTTTTTTTTTTTTTTTTTTCTTTTTTTTTTGGGAGAAGGGATTCAGCTTAGAGCTTGGGCTTCCTGGCAACTTGGATGTGCGTGTGTTTTTGCTCTCTCTGAATCATAATTTCTTTCTCCCTCCTGAGGTTCAAGTGGGGTTCAGCCTGTTGGGTGCTATCCACGGCAGTTCCCTGTCCGTTCCAGGTGACCCAGCGTCCTCTGCTTTTTTTTTTCCTCCCTCCTGGCATACATCGTTTGTCCTCAGGAGTTCATCTTCAGTCCATGTCTGTCTTCAGGAGGAAATTTAAAATGAGCACTTGACATTACGTGGTTTTGGAAGTGCACCGCTTTTTCCGTCACTTTAAATATTTGAGTTTGTCATCAGGTGTTTGGGCTTTCAGTGTGAGTTTCTGTACATTTTAAACTGTTTGAATTGGGAATAGTTCATATGAGCAGAACCCGCTACAGCTATACTTCAAGAAATCATTGTTTTTCTCGTTAGAGTCAACAGTATGTATCAAAATCTGTCCAAGTTTTGAAAGAACATTGAATTTTTTTTTTGTCCGTGTAGACTTTCACAGGATGAGTTTCCAGAATGTTCACGAGGAGACGTTTGTTGCACAAATGCAATTTTTGGTTCAAGATGAAAAGGCTGTAATGCAGTTACATTTGTACATTTAATCATCCAGAGATTTTTTTATACAGACAATGAGTAGATTTAATTTAAAATATTTATATAAATGACCTGGAAAATCAAAAGTATTCTCCATACTGAATTTATTCCTTCCAGTGTTTTCTGTATTATCTTTCCACAAATAAACAACCATCTGTTTGTCTCTATGAATGAGTCACATAGATACCAACATCTTTGTATTCAAATTCTGTACAGAATTTTCTATTTTAGCCCGTTCCTGTGCGTGCTTTCCCTGCTGTGTAGTTACCATGATGAGGGGTTCTTGTGCAGGGCCAAGTCTGTCAAGTAACATCAAGTATCTGTTTGAGATGATCGGGATCTCATATTGGTTCTATTCTTGTATAGAAGGCTATTATAACACAGTGTTTTAATGACAGATTGCAGAAATTCTTTCCTCTGGTTGACCCCAACCATCAAAGGCCATAAACACACTTCAAGATCAAGTTTCAGTTGCGATGCTGAGCAGTTTCTCCAGAACAAACCTGACTTCAGATCAAAACAAACATGGCAGATGATCAACAGACACATATTTCCGTGCTATTTGGATGTGTTTTGCAGAGATAAATAAAAAGTAGCCGAGCTGATGGTTGAGCATGGTTTATGAGTCAGAATTTAACCCTGATACATACAGTACTAAATGTATAAAACGTCCCGAAAAACCTAACACAGTTGTATCTATGTATGTAAAAAAAAATTATATCATGGAAAAGTTCATTTTTTTCTATAATTGAATTCAAAAAGTGGAACTTTCATATATTCTAGATTCATTACACATAAACTGTGTTTTCTGAAATCGAGAGTCAATGCAGTGTCTACACGGAGATTTTAGAGCACTTCATGCTTTCATCTGCTGACAAGCTTTATGGAGATGCTGATTTCCTTTTCCAGCAAGACTTGGCACCTGCCCACAGGGCCAAAACTATTAGTAACTGGTTTGCTGACCGTGGTATTACTGTGCTTGATTGCGCAGATAACTCGTCTGAGCTGAACCCCATAGAGAATCTATGAGAGACAAAAAAAAGGCTTGAAATTTTTTACTTTATATGTAATTTATCTAGAATATACACTTTTTGAACTAAATTATGGGGAAAAAATGAACTGTTCCATTTTTTAGATGCTCCTGTACTAGGTACCATGCTGATAACTTCCATCAATATTAATGCCTTTCATTCAGCTTGTTGGTTATCAATTTTGTTATGTAACATCTAGATAGGAAAGATCACAGGATAGCTGGCATTCTCTGCACAAACATTGAACTTGGATTGGGAATAGAGCAGGGGTTAAGACTTTCCGAAGCTTTCCAACTTTCTAACATGGGAAAATCATTATGTTTTCCAGTTTCTAAGTAACAGTACAAGCTCCTTTTTTTTTTTTTTTTTTTTTACTTTGAGAGTGAGAAAAGAGAGGCCGTGGTAATGACTGTTTAAGATGCTGTAACATAAGCAATGACAAAAAGCAACCTTGTTTTCATGGATGCTTCCACAACATTAAATTTACTGTAATTCACGTTGTTGGCAAATTACTGTGGTGTAAAAGGAACAAAACTCTTTAGGACGTACTGACTGTTACAAAATTCTTACACTGAAGTGAAGACTCCTCCAATAAATAAACGTGAAATAAACATCTCTTTACAGAACATTTGACTATATCAACGATTAGAATCTTTTTTGTTGTTGTTAAACAATAACAATTTTTTAATCTGTTTATTATTGTCCTTAGATTACATGTCTTGCCCACCATACACATCTCTGGGTATAAGCTGTTATTATGGAAATGGTAACATATTAGAATGAGCGAATGAGTGTAAAACTCTCTACATCTGTTACAGTTAGATTTATTAACACTTTATTCCAAATCAGATTTGAGAATTCAACAGCAATGTGATATAAAATTGGATTATACATATTCCACACCACGTGATAATCAAGGAAAATAATTTTTAATTTTTTTTTTATTATTTTATTTTTTTATTTACCTCATTTGGCTGATGCTTTTATAAAAAATTAAAAAAGCAACTTACATTTGACATTGTTCAAGGGCCCAACAGTGGCAGCTGGATGATTCTGGATGTTTGAAAATTTGAACTCATGAGCTTTCAATCAGTAGAACAATGACTTAATCATCACTGAGCTGGCTTCCCTCCCTTATCATCACAAGAGCTAGAATGAAAACAAAGTTCACAGTTGGACCATTGGTGCATTTCATACACACACTGTTTTTTTGCACAATTTTTAGTCTAAAACCCTACAAAACAAAGCACAATCCATATCCTACATGGAGATTAACACTGCACCAGATTCCCCTCTGGCGCACTAGACTCCCTTTGGGCCACGTCCTATCACTGCTACTGTTAACTGGACTGGAACCTAGCTCTGTCCTGCCAGCTGCAGATGATTTATCGTTATTAGACAGCTGAGGTTACAGATAAAACCGAGCCACATGCTGGGTCTTCATAAGGAAAGCTGTCTTCTGGCTCTTGCCCCAATGTCATGAAAATCATTAGCTAGCAGAAAAAGCGCAGGAGAAAACGGCCAGAAATCAGATCTGGGATACAGCTGGTATGTTGTGTCCACGTGTCTGGCAACTGTATTATCTGGACATATTAAACCAGAACAGTTTATTGGAAAGGGATAATCAAATGGCCAAGGAAGTTTAGTACAAGACATAAAATATAAATTATATAATAACGATTGGATTGAAAGGTTTTGAACTTATTTTTTATGTGAGTTTTCATTTTAGAAATTCAGTTTGATCAGAACACTGCCAACTGCAAAATTTGAATGCACATTTAAATATTATTTCTATTATTATGTGTAGAAAGTGGATTGAAATTTGGTTAATGAGAACTTACAGCTGAGTTACACTCCATTCAAGCCGTTAATGGATAGGTTAGTTTGAGAAGTAGCCAGATACTTTTGCTGAATGTTTGTTGTTTCTGGTAGTGACACTGAAACAGTTCATGTCTGAACAGTGTAGCATATGACTTATCTCCAAATTGGAAATATATTGCCAGACCATCTTTGTTCTCATGTGGAAAGGTGTTTTGTTGGTAGATGATGTGGAGGTTCTGGTGTTCAGTCAGTGCCCGTGGCTCATCTGAACAGAGTTGTGCTACAGTGGTCATGCCCGTGGGGTATTGACGGATAAAAAAAACAGGGTGATGCTTGTGGAATCAATCATTGTTACAGAGAGATGTACCCATTTACCCCCTCATGTGGGCTGTTATAGGATTTTTCTCCACTGTCAGTATGATGAAAGTCCAGAGTTTTGATGCCTCTTCGGAGTTTGGAGAGCTGCAGGGGTCCAACACTCTGTTGCCCCTTTCTGCATCAACACACGGCTGAACATTTTATAGATATACTCACATTTCCACCAGTGGACTGCATTGGTGCTCAAAGATAATAAAGTTTGTTAACA